AATAACAAACTTTCTACATGTAATATTTTTAAAATGAAAAAAGCTGTTTTCCAAAAGAAAATAGTTTTCACGGATAATGGTATTGTTTTAGCATGTTTGCAAACCTCTGTAATGTCTGACTTAACAGAAAACAGTTGGATTTCTGGATTCTCATCTTTTTCTGCATTAAACTGATTGAAGTATACAAGAAAGTTCAACCTCAGAATTGTATATAGTTGAAAAAACGGGGAGAAGCCTTGTTTTTTTTTTTTTTTTTGAGACAGAGTCTCGCTCTGTTGCCCTGGCTAGAGTGCCGTGGCATCAGCCTAGCTCACACCTCAAACTCCTGGGCTCAAGCGATCCTCCAGGACCACAGGCATACGCCACCATGCCCGGCCAATTTCCCTCCATTCCCAGTAGAGACGGGGTCTGGCTCCCACTCAGGCTGGTCTCAGGACTCCTGAGCTGTGATTATTTTCTTTGTGTTGTTTTGGGAGGTGATAATTAGCTCAGTAGAAAGAATGTTTCCATTAAGCACTTTCATTAAGTAACAGAAATCAACCTATTATTAACAACTGAATGTCAGTATTTATGCATTATTTCTCATTTATAGGTGTCTCTGCTAGTCATATATAAGGGCAGATATTATTTTTTTGGTATGTTTAATTTTAGGTAATGAGTTAATTAATACCTTTGGACTTGATTTGAACAAAGATGTAAAATGAAAAAATGATATACCTATCTTTGGTATATTTTACTTTTTAAAAATATTAACATTTTTAGTTGTGGTTTGAAGGAACTACATGTTATACTTTATAAAATATGGACTTGGACATGTCTAGAGTCTAGTTGAGTTTTAGAAATCAGTTATTAACATCTTTTCTCTTAAATAAAGCTTTTTCAGTATTTTTATTGCAGAAAAAGAACTCTACCAGTATTTGGTAGCTTAATTAGTGTTAATTAGCTTAATTAGACAAAATGTTTATGTACTAGAGTATGAGGCATCTTGTAAATACATGAATATGAAGTACTACAACTAGGCTTTTTAAAGAAAAACAGTAGAAGAATGGTCTTTAACATATGGAATTACAGTTTTCTGTACTTGCTGGTACTATGTTGGCGAAATTCATTTCTGGCTTTTGGTAAATAATTTTTGATTCAAGGATCATTAGTGAAACTATTTGGGAGCAGCATCTCTTCAAAAGTTTTTCTTGCAGTGAATTAAATGTTAAAATATGAAATATCTTCATAAAATCAGTGGTTTATATAAATATCAATATCTTGGTTGTGATATTATACTATAGTTTTACAGAGTGTTATTATTGGGGGAACTAGACAAAGTGTATAAGGAATCTGTAGTATTGCTTATATAAATACATGTGCGAATCTGTAGTTTTCTTAAATAAAAGTAAAACAGTAAAAATAAAATGATAAAAGACTTTCATTTTTGGCCAAGATAAAGACCAGATTTTTCCTCCCACCTGAGACAACTATTAAAAGAAAAAAGCAGACAAAATATTTGAAACAACAGTTTTCAAGACACTGAGCACGAGCAATGAAGGGTATCGACCCTGAGAATTGGGAAACAGGGTGAGCTCTATGATCGCCTACCTAGCGTACTGCCTTAAGAATGTTTCTGGCTGTGGAACAGAGAAATGAAACTCAACCCTAAACCGCAATAAAAGCTAAGTCAGTCTCCTTTCCCTGCTCTATCCAGCTCTGATCTGCTTGGAGCCTTCCTTGCTCTCCCCAGAAAGCCTCACCATGAAAGCCTTTCATACCCGCTTGCTGCATGGTGCTGCCATCTATGTCAACATCTGAACTGAATTTTGGATGGGAGGTCTGTCTGTCTCTGCAGGGTGACCACAACAGTAGAGAAAGGGTATTTTTTTTTTCTTTCAACAAATTGTGCTGAAACAGTGTGATACGCATGTACCAAAAAAAAAAGTTTTCCCCCAGTTTCCTTTTTTATGGCAAGGTATACATAACAAAATTTACCATCTTAACCATTTTTAGATTTTATTTTTTAGGGCGGTTTTACATTTTACACAGCAAAATCAAACAGAAAGTGCAGAGATTTTTCCATATGCCTGTGCCCTAACACATGAATAGCTTTTCCCATATTAATATCCTCCACCAGAACAATACATTTGCTACAATTGATGAATCTACTTTGACACATTATCACACAAAGTCCATAGTTTATTTTAGGGTTCACTCTTGGTGTACATTCTATGGATTTTGACAAATGTATAATGACACGTATCCATAATTATAGTATCCTACAAAGTAGTTTCACTGCCCTCAAAATCCTCTGTGCTCTGCCTGTTCAAACCTCCCTCTCCCCAACTCCTGGCAACCACTGATCTTTTTACTGTCTTCATAGTTTTGCATTTTCCAGAATGTCATATAGTTGTAATCATATATAGTAGGTAGCCTTTTCAGATTGGCTTTTTTCACTTTGTAATATGCATTTATTTTTGCATTATTTTCATGGCTTGATAGCTTATTTCTTTTTAGCGCTGAATAATACACCCTTGTCCAGATGTACCATGGTTTATTTGTCTAATATCTACTGAAGGACATCTTGGTTGCTTCCAAGTTTTTGGCAGTTATAAATAAAACTGCTGTAAACATCTCTGTAGGTTTTGTGTGGACGTAAGTTTTCAAATCATTCGGGCAAATACCAAGGGGTGAGATTGCTGGGTCATATGGCAAGATTATGTTTAGTTTTTTAAGAAATTGCCAAACTGTATCCCAAAGTGGCTGTACTATTTTGCATTCTCACCAGCCTGTTGCTCCACCAGTGTTTGGGGGTGTTGTGTTCTGGATTTTAGCCATGCTAGTTCGTGTGTAGCGGTATCTCATTGTTGCTTTAATTTGCACTTCCCTGATGACATGATGTGGAGCGTCTATTCATATGCTTATTACCATATGTATAGCTTCTTTTGTAGGATATCTATTAAGGTCTTTGGCCCAATTTTTTAACTAGGTTGTTTGTTTTACTGTTGAGCTTTACATGTTCTTTGTATATTTTGCATAACAATCCCTTATCAGATGTGTCTTTTGCAAATATATTTTTCCTAGTCTGTGGCTTTTCTTTATTCTATTCACAGTGTCTTGTAGAACAGAAAGTTTTAATTTTAATAAAGTTGAGTTTATCAATCCTTTCTTTCATAGATTGTGCCTTTGGTGTTATATCTAAAAAATAATTGCCAAACCCAAGGATATCTAGATTTTTTTCCTGTGCTATCTTTTAGCAATTTTATTATTAGATATGAAATGTCCAATTTGAATCAATAGTTTATTATATCTCAGACAAGAAGCAGTACAATTAATCAAAGTATGCACCTAAACTAGGAACACAGTTTTGCCATCTTAATGGTAGCTTGTTTATGCCAGCAGCGAAGAAGCCTGGAGAGCAAGTGGCGGTGAAATCATGAAAGGCATTTTCCGCAGCTTGTTGAGAATTGAATGTTTTCTCTTGCAAGAAGTGGTCCAAAGCCTGGAAGAAGCGGTATTCAGTTGGTTCAAGGTCTGGTGAATATGCTGGATGACAGAGTTTCCAAGTCCAGCTGCTGTAGTTTCAGTGGTGTTATTTGTGCAATATGTGGTTGAGCATTGTCTTGTAAGAGGATTGGCCTGTCTCTATTGACCAATCTCGGCTGCTTCATTGCGAGCATCCTCATCATTTTGTCCAACTGATTGCAGTAGACATCCGCTGTAATCGACTGACCAGGTTTCATGAAGCTGTAGTAGATAATACCACTGCTAGACCACCAAACGAACACCATTAGCTTTTATTGATTAATATTCGGTTTTGGACTGTGTTTCGGCACTTCATCTTTATCCAACCATTGTGCCCAACGCTTGCAATTGTCAAAAAGAATCCATTTTTCATGACACGTAATGATAGGGTGTAGAAGTGGCTTGCCTTTATGTCATGACTGCAAAGAAAGAGAAGTTTTGAGACTCTTTCTCTTCTGATGCTCATTCATCTGGAACCCATCTATCCAGCTTCTTTACCTTGCTGATTTGTTTCAAATGGTCCCATATTGTTGGAACAGTAACATCACACCTTGCTGCTAACTTACGAGTAGGTTAAGGTGGATTCGCTTCCACTACAGCTTTCAGCCCATCGTTATCCACCTTGCTCTCAGGTTGCCCACGTGGCTCATTTTCAAGATTAAAATCACCAGAATGGAACTTCTCAAAGTATCCATGTACTGTGCGTTCATTAGCCGCATCCTTCCCAAATACTTTGTTGATATTTCGAGCTGCCTGCGCTGCATTGGTTCTATGTCGGAACTCATATTCAAAAATAACACGAATTTGCGGTGGAGTTGGTTACAAAGGGAGCAGCTGCCCAGGCCACTACACAGCCACGGCCTCCGTGCCCCTCGCCCTTTTCCAGCCGCGGCCCGACGCGGGGCGGCTGCAGGGAGAGGTCGTGATGGCGGCTCTGGGCCGGGCTCCCCTTCCGCACCCCCCCCGCCGGAGATGAGGGCTTCAAGGCCGAGCTGAAGTTCCTGGCGTCCATCTTCGACAAGAACCACGAGCGATTCCGCATCGTCCGCTGGAAGCTGGACGCGCTGCAGTGCCAGTTCCTGGTGCCGCCGCCGCTCACACTCCACTGCAACTCACGGAATCCTGTCCATCTTCTTCACCCATGTGGTTTGTGGACTCTGATGACCCAAATCTGACATCAGTTCTGGAACGTCTAGAAGATACTAAGAACAACAGTTTGTTTTGTCAGCAATTGAAGTGGTTGGTATGTGAACTCTGCAGATTGTATGACCTTCCTAAGCACCTGGATGTTGAGATACTGGATCAGCCACCACCCACGGGTCAGAATGGGACAACAGAAGTGACTTCAGAAGAAGAAGAGGAAGAGATGGCTGAAGATATAGAAGACTTAGATCACTATGAGATGAAGGAAGAAGAGTCCATTAGTGGGAAAAAGTCGGAGGATGAAGGAATTGAAAAAGAAAATTTGGCAATATTAGAGAAAATTAGGAAGACTCAGAGGCAAGACCATTTAAATGGTGTAGTGTCTGGTCAGTGCAAGCTTCAGATAGACTTATGAAAGAGCTCAGGGACATATACAGATCACAGAGTTATAAAGCAGGGATTTATTCAGTGGAACTCATAAATGACAGTTTGTATGACTGGCATGTTAAACTGCAGAAGATTGACCCTGATAGTCCTTTGCACAGTGATCTTCAGATCTTAAAAGAAAAAGAAGGCATAGAATATATTTTGCTTAACTTTTCTTTTAAGGATAACTTTCCATTTGATCCTCCATTTGTTCGAGTGGTGTCACCTGTTCTCTCAGGAGGGTACGGTGTTGGGTGGAGGAGTATTATGTATGGAACTTCTCACAAAACAGGGCTGGAGCAGTGCCTACTTAGTAGAATCCGTCATCATGCAAATAAATGCCACCTTAGTCAAAGGCAAAGCCAGAGTACAGTTGGAGCAAATAAGAATCAATATAATCTAGCAAGAGCTCAACAATCCTATAATTCCATTGTACAGATACATGAGAAAAATGGCTGGTACATCCCTCCAAAGGAAGATGGCTAAATATGTTGACTGTCATACGTTTGGACCAATGTTGCTTTTTATAAAGAAAATCTTTCCAACATGCAGACACAAGCTTTGAGTGCCCCTATAACAGCAATACCGAAGACGTTAGCTAATAGATATTTTAGTGGATAATCTGTCAACTGACATCCAGTATAAGTTACAGCCTTTTCATTTTGCTCATTTTAGATATCCTGGACTGAGCAGTGGGGCCCTTACTGTATTTTTCCTGATAAATACACATACTGGCCACTTCTTATCATCTCTTTTTCTTGAAAAGTGAAATCTTTTGAGCAGGCGAGTCAGCATCTGGTTACTGAAGGTGTAACTTTAGGGTAATTTTCCTATATTGAGCCCATAGGTTATCAGGATTTGCAAGATACTGTTCTGTTTGGAGCCAATAAAAGTTTAATTGATGTTCAATATTGGTTTAGAAAATTTCAGGTCTTCTAAATCACAGTAGCTCTTTGAGGTCTGAAACCATTTTATGATATTGCCAAAATAATGTCAGAAAACTTATTAAATTGTTAAAAAAATTTTTTATGGCTATGTGAAGATAGGAACTATTTCCTGAAGATACACTCTTAATTGAGTTGTATTGTGCTTTTAGGCAAAGCAAAGCAAGGCTATGCCAATCAAGGCTTGTAAGTAGTAATTTGCACTGGGGCATAAAAGTCTTGCTGGGCTGAATCTGCTTCTTGTTGGTTCAACATTTCTTATGAAGAAAAGCCATAGTATAGAACTCGAAGTTATTTAAAATACTAAGTCATTTTACGTTTCCATTTTATTAATGGGATGTTGCAATCATTTGTAAACTAATAAACTTATAAAGTGATTGGCACAAAGACTCCTTGAGCTGCACAGTTAAGTATAAAAGATACCTAATTTGGAGACTCTTAAAATTTTTGCTATAGTCATAACAATGGCTTTTACATTGAAAGACTAATAGGAACTCTACATATGTTAATTCTTTTACAAAGCCTGACTCAAATCAAGGTACTCTCCATTTTACTCCCTTACCTGAATCAGTCCTGTGTGGTTGGTAATAGATTTTTTTATACACCCAAGTTTGGTTTAAAAGTAAATTGTAGTTATTAAGCACTTTTTTTTTTTTTTGAGACAGAGTCTGGCTCTGTTGCCCGGGCTACAGTGCTGTGGCATCAGTCTAGCTCACAGCAACCTCAAACTCCTGGGCTCAAGCGATCCTCCTGCCTCAGCCTCCTGAGTAGCTGGGACCACAAGCATGCGCCATCATGCCTGGCTAATTTTTTCTATATATATATTTTTAGTTGTCCAGATAATTTCTTTCTATTTTTAGTAGAGACGGGGGTCTCGCTCTTGCTCAGGCTGGTCTCGAACTCCTGACCTTGAGTGATCCACCTGCCTCAGCCTCCCAGAGTGCTAGGATTACAGGTGTTAGCCACCGCACCCGGCCAAGCAGTTTTAAAAAGAAATCCAGAAGCACACTTTTCTGCACAAACCAGTTACATAGTTCAACAGTGTTTCTTATGCATTTGGTTTAAGATTCAGTTTTTAACTTTGTAAACCGTATCCAAGAGATTTGGCACTTCTGCATTATTGCGTGTGTTTAATTTCTTTTGATTCTGTTTTGGTTAAGAGGGCAATAGATGAAGACTTTTTAGTATTCTTGTTCACTTGGTTACATTTATATAAAGTTCTGATTGCCAGTTACTTAGATAACAAGTGACAAGGCAGAATTCTATAAAGCATTAAAGTTCCTTAAACCCAGGGCTAAATCTTGAATACATTATTGAATTCTTTAATATCCTGATGGCTAGCAGATTGACAGCTGCACAGTTGGCATGCTTTTTTTTTTTGGATTCTGTTTTTCATTGCAGATTTATTTGGCAATGTACAGTAAATTTTGTAAACTTGCATCAAGTTTATGAATAAAGAACCATTTAAAAATTTAAAAAAAATAACACGAATTTTTGACTTATTCATGGTTTCACAAAAATTGCTCTAAAAATTTTTTTGAAAGAGCCAAAATGTGTGTTTGAAAGACTGAGAATGTACCTTTACAATAAAAATAAAACAAATGTCAAAGTGAAATGTCAGAGATATCAACTGTCAAACTTAGTACTTAAGGAAATCGGACATTTCATACTTAATAACCTAATAGTTTTATGTTGTACAGTTAGGTTTGTAATGTATTTTGGGTTAGTTTTTGTGAAGGGTGTAAGGTCTGTGTCTAGATTTATTTTTTTGCATACGGATGTTCAGTTCCATTTTTGAAAATACTAGTTTCAGCACCATTTGTTGAAAAGATTGTCTTTTCTCCATCGTATTGTCTTTATTCCTTTGTCAAAGAGTAGTTGACTATTGATGTAGTCTGTTTCTGGGATCTCTATTTTGTTTTAATAGACCTATTTGTCTTTTGCCAATACCACACTGTCTTGATACTGTTGCTTTATACTAAGTCTCGAAGTCAAATTTTGTTCTTCTCCACTATTGCTATTCTGGGTCTTTTTCCTAGTCCTATGTGATATTGTGAAATATATATTTTGGTCTTTGTTCCCATTTTTTGGGCATGCAACTCCTAAAATCTTTGGAATCATCGAAGTGATAAGTGTCTTTTTGTATACTCATGAGTTGACTGATGGCTAGCAGTTCCTCAGCAGCTTCAGACCTCATCCTTGGAAAAAACCAAGGCAGGATTAGAGGGCTTGGACTTGCAGCCCCACCCCTAACTTCCCAGAGTAAAGAGGGGCTGAAGGTTAAGTTGATCACCAATGGCCAGTGATTTAATCAATCATGCCTATGTAATGAGGCTTCTATAAAAACTCAAAAAGGACTGGGTTCAGGGAGCTTCTGGATAGCTGAACATGTGGAAGTTCCTGGAGGGTGGTGTTCCTGGGAGGGCATGGACATCCACTCCCCCATACCTCTCTATATGCATCTCTTCATCTGTATTCTTTTTTTTTTTTTTTTGAGACAGAGTCTCACTCTCTTGCCTGGGGCGAGTCCCGTGGCGTCATCCTAGCTCACAGCAACCTCAAATTCCTGGGCTCAAGCAATCCTACTGTCTCAGCCTCCCAAGTAGCTGGGACTACAGGCATGCGCCACCATGCCCGGCTCATTTTTTCTGTATATATTTTTAGCTGTCCAATTAATTTCTTTCTATTTTTGGTAGAGACGGGGTCTCGCTCTTGCTCAGGCTGGTCTTGAACTCCTGAGCT